GAAGAAACCTATCTCTGAGCGTTTTAAAATGGATGTAAAGGAGTTATCTCCAGGCTATTTCAAATGGTCAAAAACATGAAAGCGCTGCGGACGTTATCTTTATAATTTGAATTTATTTTGTACTATGTACCCCTGGCGATGTTTTTGTCTTGGAATTGTTATATGTACTCTTGCTTGTATTGTAATTATTGTGATTGTTTATGCATAAAAAAAACTTAAAAAACGCGACCTAGACAACTTCTCTCTTTCTTTAACTTTCTTTTTATTTGAACAACAAAAGTAAATACAATACAAACAAGATAACACATAACATATCAATATTAATAACACCGTCACCATAATACTGGACAAACACACTTTACGTAAGAAGTTTGAACGGCGTAAATTAAGATCAGGTCCTTCTCCCTGAATAAGTAAAATAACACCGAAAACGATAACAAAATAGGATCTAATTTGCATCGTGGAAACGGTAGTGCATTACATCACATTAATTCCCAGCCCCCTGTTGTGAACGTTTTTAAAAGCCGTTTTTACATTCGGTAATATACGTGAGAGAACAGCTCAGCTCAGCTCTCTCGGGCAGAAACTAGGCTAGTCGCATTTCATTTTAATTAAAAACGTTTTAGGACGGGGGTGTTTTTTTTGCTCCCGGTCCAGGAAAAACGAAACACAAAGGCACCCCAAAAAAGAGAGAGAGAACGATTTCCCTGTGATCAAACAGGGCCATTCTTCAAAACTGAGACGGAGACGGAGACCCCGGTTCGTTTAAAAAGCGAAATATATATATATAAATGTATTTATTTTATTTTTTTTGGGGGGTGGGGAGAGAAGCACTTTGCTGCTATCTTTTCCCGCTCGGGAAGAGGAAGCTACACACGGGTGTCTTTCCCTCTTTCGGCTGGAGTTTTTTGGGTTTTTTTCCCCTTGACCAAATGGTCCTTTTTTTAAAAATAAAAAAATTCTCCTCTCTCTCAGTTGCAGCTGGCGTGAGAGGGAAGTTTTGAAGCAGGCAGCTCTTCCGTGGGCAGACTGTAGCCTGATAACCAGGGGTAAAAGCTCTCGGGAGCCGCAGGAGCTGGTGAAGTTCACCGAAACTGATGTGTCGCAGCCGGACAGCTGTAGAATCAGCTGGTAAAACCTCAAAATACCCCCCCCCACACACACACACACCTGGGTAGAAAACGAGAAGGCCTCAGGGTCAGGTTGGAAACTTTCATGTTTATTCAATTCGGGTAAGTATCGTAACATTTCCACGAAAAACACACACACGCACACACACAAACCACCTGAATCAAAACCTAAGATTAAGCACAGGGACTTTTTATCTGAAGACTACCACGCCACGACATCAACTCAGCCTGGCTGGTCTGTACAGGTCTCTACAGCCTCTGGAAGAAGGAAAAGGACGCCCTTTCACGGCTTCAAATGGACCAGAACCTGTTTAGCTCATTTCTGCAAGAGTGGTACTG